AGATCCAATTGTGACCTTCAAACTCTTAATCCAAATGATAATTTTCAAATTTATGCATGGATCCAACATGTACAAGATATCTGAAAACAACTTTATCATGCTTATTATACAGAAAACTCATTACTACTTTATCAACAAATTCAACAAGCAACTAAAAAGAGATGTAAAACACTTTCAACACATCCTAAACAAGCTATTAACAGTATTCTTAATTGATACAAAGCTTCTATTCACTTTTCTAACATTAAACTTTCTGACCAACTTATTACAGATCCCAAACTCATAAAACAGCATATACAATTTCACTTTCACAACTGGACTGCATATTGACCATCTGACCAAGTACTGTTTGACAGCTTCTGGCATACACATTATCAATCACAACCACATATCAACACCCAATAGTACAATTCTCTTAACTCTCCTATTACAGAAAATAAAGTTCTTCAAACCTTGTTACAACTTCTGAATAGAAAAGCTTGTGGACTTACAAGTATCAGCTATAAAATGCTTAAACATGCAAGTACTACCTGCATTAAAACTATTATAACTCTATTTAATTGTTGCTTTAATTCAAGTCAATTTTCAAACAATAGAAACACAGTAGAATTTATCTGATTCTAAAACATAACACATTTAACAGTAATCTAAGTCTCACTTGCTCTATTAGTCTTATTAAACATACTCAAAAAGTTTATACAAAAATTATTACTACTAGAATCAGTACTGTGTTTTCTTAACATCCAATACTTTCATTCTACAATTATATAGCTCTACCTAACAACAGCATATCTATACCAATTTACATACTTAATAATCTTATTGAAGATGCATTATGCAACAACAAACCAATTTGGCTCTTATTTCAAGATATGAGTAAAGCATATGACTTAGTTAATCTTACTCTTCTTCAAAAATCTTTACAATGCCTTGCTCTTTCTCACTCTATAATAAATGCTATTATTAACATTCTTCATAATTAACAAAACTAAGTTATTACAAATCTTGAACTTATTCTATCATATCCTATATATAATGGCATTGATCAGGATGAAACTATCACTCCTTTCTTATAAAAAATCTATTATAACCCACTTATCTCATATATTTATAATAACTTCAAAGGCTATATTATACAAGTTTTTTGGCTAACTAACTTAAAACATTAAACATATAATAAGCTTAGCCTACACTACTTAGTTCTTGCCTATATAGATAATACTTTTTGGATTGCATCTTTATAACAAGAACTATTACAAATCTTTTCTGCAGCTAAATCATTCTTTAATATAGCTAATATACAAATTAACCTTTTCAAATCTATACTTACAACTAATAACAAACAAACTAACTATACCTCTATTATATACAACAACCATCCTCTCAACCTTTATTTATCAAATGAACTACTCAAATTTCTTAGATGCTGGTTTATACTTAATAACAAACAAGCCAAACAAACCTAACTCATTATTGCAGAATTATCACATCTTGTTAAAATTGCAAGCACTAAACAAATTACTAATACATATGCATGTTATATTATTAACACTGTCATTATTTTCACAATCAAATATCAACTACATAACATTGTCCTTAATCAATATACATATAACAAAATGCTTACAAGTCATATAGGACTTGTTAAAAGTAAAGCCAAACTTAGTCACACAATCCTTACCAGCACATTACTTCACTTTCAGCTATATAATATCCATAACATATAGGATATTCAATTACAACATTATATTACAAACTTAACCAAAAGACTTAATTCTTCTAATCTATTAGGAATAAGTATTTACATTAGGCTCTAGCAACTTCAGAACAACCTGTGGTCATCTACTAGTATTCTGATACATGATAATCTTATCATTGATAGGCCTAACAAACATACTATTAACTTTAAAATTATCCAACTTTTTAACTATCTTGGTATTATATTTTTATTTAATTTATTATATAATATTCTATATACTGTTCAAGAAGGATCTATTCCACTTAAATCATTACTTTCATTACATCCAAAATACTTAACCTTCAAAAAAACAACTTAGATACTATTGTATTCTTTACTTAGATCAACTAATTACATTCGATAACTCATGCCTTTTAGACTAGAAACATATATCTATATATATAAACAAAATTTCTAAAGGCAAACAACCACTTTGGTTTAATTATCAAGAAGACCAAACTACAAGTTATTCATACAATTATACTCTTTATCAACATTTACATTTACCTAATACAAACTACTATAGTTATTCAACTGAACACTTTTCTTTAAGAAAAAAACTATAGCTTATTACAGTACTTGATAATCAAATTATTACTGGCAAAGCCAGAAGACAGCCCTCTTCTTCAGTAAGTATTTTTATTACTCACTGGCAATGCCATATAGAACAATAATTTACTCATCTATATTTACTTTTACCTATTTAATTACAAATATGTTCAGATTGTTTTTTTAATTCTTATATAATTGCCAACAAATATATAATCAATATTCCTATTAATCTTTCTTTTAGATTCTTTGGTCAAGTCAATACATACAACAAAACCTTCAACTTTAATGCCAACTACCTTAATTTTATATACTTTATTGCAATTTAACATTCTATTCAAATCTCTAACCTTCCTAATATTAACATTATAGCATACTTAATTCTAATGATATTTGAATTCAGTACTTTAACAGATAATCTTCAACAAATCACTAACTACAATACACAATTATCAGAATTTTATTTTTATACAGATGGCTCTGTCATCAACCTAAGTACCTTACAATGCTCTATAATAGGGTTGTTAATGGAGCAACATACTCTGGAACAACCTAGATTATACTCCAGTTTGAAGTTGAAGTGAGTTGAGATTTTAAGAATTATATAATAACTCAGAGCAAAACTATTTCTTATAACTCAGATTGCTTCATGTAGGTTGCTTCATATGGAGTGACCTAGAGCAAAGCCTGAGTTGCTCTATATGAAGTGATCTGGAGCAAAACTGAGTTGCTCTATATAAATGACCTGGAGCAAAACTGAGTTGCTCCATATAAAGTAACTTGGAGCAAAACTGGGTTACTCCATATAAAGTAACCTGGTGCAAAATCTGGGTTGCTCCATATGGAGTAACCAGCATAGAGGGCTTTAATTCTAATTGGTCAATCAATAAATATATCATTGCATATACATTGCATATATTATCTAACTTTAAATAAATTGTAGAATGAAACTGAATATATACTTAGAAACTACACTTCTTACATTATATATAGTAAAATAATTCAGAGAACAGGGAAGTAATTCAGAAGTTAGCTATAGGGTGTACTTTTGTTATATAGGCTAAAGCAATTTAGCAATTAGCGAGGTAAATTACACTTTAGCTAATAAGTGTTACTATTTTTTTTTTAACTTATTAATTTACAAACAATAATTCAAACAGTATTGCTAATAGTTGTTTTTTTTTTAATATTTTTTCTGAGTATAGATTATTTGATTAAGTTTTAAGTTTTTTTTTTTTTTTAAATATTAAGATAAGTACATGCAATCCAGAATTTTACTAATAGTATAAGTTGGCTAGCACCTGTACATGTACAGACATAGAGGTGATTACAGAAAGAGTGTACAACTAGCCACTTGTATAACTTTAGTTATTGTTTAATTTAAGTAGTCTGCCCAAAGGTTCTATACTAGTTGCTATACCTAGAACCTACTTGTAGATCCTCTATTTAAACACTCTGATCCTGCATCCACTACACCCTACTAGCAACTCCAATAAACTAGTGAAGATATGTCATAGTTACTAAGTCATGTTTAACTTTGTACTAAACCTATCAGTGCATTCTGTATTCCATACTTACAGCTCACCTAGTCATGCTTTGGTCTAAACTATCACTTGCAGTCAGAACTAATCATTAAACTGCTTTTACTTTTGTAAGGTTCACCCAAAATCCCAATATCCATCTTTTCAATATTCTCTCCATCATCCCCTACTAACTGCTACTCAGAACTGATAGGACTCTCCAGACTTCCAATCCAGATGGCCTGGTATAGTATACCTTAGTATTCTTTTCCTCTGGTGATTTCAGCAGCCTGGTTGGTCATGTGCTTTTCTACATATTTTGCCATTCAGTTTATCCACCTATTCCTTTGGGGGTGTTTCATAGGCTTTCATCAGTCTGATAGCACTATTGAAAGTTTTTTGCTACCTCCTTACTTAGAATTTCTAAATGAATTTTCGACTCTTTAGTTCTTTCGCTTTCCATGCTTGGTGGTCTTATTATAGGTTTGCACTGAAGTCTTATGCAATACCAGTTATATATTCCTCTATATGGATGTAATGTTATACTTAGCATAGATGCCCTGAGCTCCCATTCAAGATGGTGTAACTAAGGTTACAGATACACTAATCCAATCGATCAACAAAGACAGTTATTGTAACACAGACCTATTTTCTAAAATTTGTCATCTATAGAATTTGAACTCTAGACCTGCTACTTGGGAGTTGACAACCTGTCTACTTCACTAAGTTGCCACACCCAATCAAGTTTTAAGTTATAGCATGTTAAATATAGAATAGTATAGAACATGTATGATTACATGCAATGTTTCTGTAGTTAATTTTGGGTTTTTATATATACTGTTTATATTTTTTATAAGTGTATATTCTACCTATTAATAATTAACAGTTCTATAATTTATTATATTATTATTTTGGTAAATTATTTAACTGTACATGCTAGTTAGCAAACAATTTAGTCAATAAAGGTTATCTATATATATAATTGTATCACTAAATTGTTAAGCTTAAAGATGTTATTTTTTTTAAATTAAGATTAATCAGATGCATAATTGATAATAATTATTGGGATCCAAGCATTAAATATTATCATTATAAATAAAAATTTATAATTTTAATATTCTTTTATTAATGAATTTTTACTTTGAACTTATTTTCTATTAGCCAATCAAATTTTGTTATATCATGAAAGCCCTTTATGCTAGAGCAAACCCCAGGTTGCTCCATATGGAGTAACCTGGAGCATTAGAACATTTTTAAAAAATTTATTGATTTAATACTATATAACTTATATACTAGAAAACAAAGAAAAACTTCATAAAAAAAAGCTTATAAACTAGTAAATACACAAAAGAATTTATCACATGTATTTATAGAATAGATAGAAAAATACTTTAAAAAGTATAAATAAGTTATTTGGAAAATTGATTTATATTAGCCATATATTCAAATTTTATTTTGAATTACATTAATTTCTTTTATAATTAAATGTATATTTTTTAGAAAAAGGTTATTTCAAGAGTTAACACCTACTATACTAAACTAATATAAATTTTAAACCATTATATAAAGGTCTGAATCTGAATATTTTATTTGCTCAATTTTTTGTATTCAAATATCTAGACTGCAAGAGTAAGAAATATATATTATACAAAATTTTTTATAAGTCTATATATATAAAACAATTTATATGTTATCTGATTCAGTCCTATCCTGTTTAATACCATGACTGCACTATAAATAAGTTACTAAATTCAAAATTGATCCTTCTACAATTTTTAACTGAGCATTATATTTTTTATTTGAATCACTTAATACATTGCAATTGTCATATTTAACTTTAATATTAATATAGTTTGTAACTTCAATTACTTTTCCTAATTTAAAATATTTCTATATTTAGCTTTATTTTTTTGATCCACCTTCACAACCTAATCTTTTAGATTGTTCATTTTCATTTTTATTGCTTGCATCTAATACCAGATTATCAAGTTGGTTAGTAAATGACTCATCAAGTGATTGGACCAATGAAGGAGATTGTAATCTGTTTTCTATAATTATATATAAAACTCAGGTTTCAACCTTATTAAAAAATTAATGAGATGCAAGATCAAATGATTAGATTAAGCGATGATAACTGAAATATAGCACAAGTAACAACTATTATTGCATGACAAATGCCCTTTATATATATTTTTTTAAATAATTGTGATCTAATATATTATTTATATTTGGTACTAATATTTTCTTTCTATTCTGTACGAATTAGGAAAATAATAAGATTATTGTACTATTTTATATGAAAAACTATTCTACTTTTTATAATATGCAGAGTTCTTTATCGATTTTTAAATTTGCTTTATTTTTATAGAACTGGTGCATTAGGATTGTATAGCATCAATGAGACATCATGGGATTACATCAATCTGAATATTTTGGAAATTTGTATATAATATTTACTACTTTTTCTTACTATCTATATAGATTTAAATTGGTGCTTCCTCTACTGCACAGAGATTAGGAAAGCGAAAAGTTTAGTTCAGCCCAACTCAATTCCAAAAGCTGTCTTTATCAAAGTTAGATATTTAAAAAATTTTTTAGTTAATAGCAATGTGTTCTCAAGTTATATAATGTTAATATATAATTGTTTAAAAAAAACTGTAACTTGAAATTTCAAATGATTACCATGGTCTCAAGTTAGACTTGGAACTTTGACTCACATCTGCATATGCATCTAGTATAGCATCAAAGATTGTGAATGTATACAAAATATGCATGAATATATATTTTTTGTGCTATATTTAACCTAGAGTATCTGCATGATATAGTTACATTCAAACTAGAAACATATTATATAAATTATTTTAAATTTTTTTTTATTATTAAATAAGTAAATAATACTATAATTTGAAGCAAATAGTAATCTGACTTAGATTTTTAGATCTTGAAATTTGATTAGTACCCTCTTTCACCAGTCAAAGTATTTAAAATCAATACAGGATTATATTATATTCAATATGGTTAATTGGTTGCTAATATGCTAAATATGTACAGTAGTTAACCAGTATTCAGCAAGTTAGCTGACAGAATGCTGACAATAATCAGTATACATTTGGCATATTAGCAATCAATTAACTATATTGAATATAATATGATCCTGTATTGATTTTAGACACTTTAACTAGTGCTAGTGTCTAGAATTGATAAGTTACTAAATAGGTAAGTACCTCAACAAGAAAGATACTATTTGTGCAAATTATAGTAGTATACTTATTTATCAATTTATTTACTTATTATATAAAAAGTTTATTGCACTTTGCAAAGTTCTTTGATCCCACTTGATTACTAATATTTATAAAATAATTGTGATTGTGATTGTAATTGCAATTGTGATTGCTAAAGCAAAAAAATTTATAATAATTTGGCCAGCTTTAGCAATTACAATCATTTTACAAATATTAGTAATCAAGGGGTCACAAAATTTTGCAAAGTGCAATACATACCAAATCTAAATTGATTTCAATTACATCAATAATAATATTATTATTATTATTTTTTTTTTTTTTTTTTTTTTTTTTTTTTTTTTATTTATATAATATCATAGTAGAAACTTTAAAATACAATAAGAAATT